GGACAGGTTATTGCTGACAGGATACCACATTCGGTACGGCAATGCAAAAAACTAAAAATTATATTATCTATTAGAAAAGTTATCAACGCTATCAGAAACAGTAGCATTTAACACTAGTACACAGATCTGTAGCACAAGTTAGTAACAGAATTAAATGAAATACGCCATGAAGAATCTATGCTAATTCATTCAGTATAGTCATTATTTTCAAACCCTGGCTACAGCCATGATAGTAAGTTTTGAATTGCAGAACAGAATAAGCATCCTCTGATGATTGGTCTCATTTGTGCTAAGTAGACCAATCAGTTGTCTCTTATTTCATGCAAAAATTAATAAATTAATTGGACACCGACTGCTATGACTTTGAGCCATCCAGTAAACAGTTGGGACAGTTGATACTACCTCCCTGAAATGAGCCTTTGCAGGGTGGGATGTCTGATTCCAAATCGACCGTAAGTGCTCTGCGAAGTGGATATCACATGATATTCCACCATGATTCCACTTCAAAAGGAACGTATCCACCTTTTTCCTATGCCCCATGGCGCTTTGCGGAAATTATGGGAGTAACTTCTGTTTACACTGTAATCAGCAAAAGGTTCGCTCTATGAATGCAATGCATGTTCAAAAACTGGCTACAATGTGGTGACATTATTTTACTCACCCTTCAACCATCAATCATTAAAAGGAAATGTAAAAGTGTAAAAGCATTAACAAATTACATTTTTAGCATAGCAATGCATAAAAAAATACAAAATTACATTTTACAGTCAAGTCACCTTTATTTACATAGCGCTTTTAACAATACAGATTGTGTCAAAGCAACTGTACAGCATTAATTAGGAAAATAGTGTGTCAATTATGCAAAATGACAATAGTAAACACTCATTTTTCAGTTAAAGGCAGTTCATCATTGAATTCAGTGATGTCATTATCCAGGTCAGTTCAGTTTAAATAGTATCTGCGCAATCACGTCGACGATATCGACTTCGATTAAGTGTCAATATCTTAAGTTTACTTAGTCCCCAACTAAGCAAGCCAGAGGCGACAGCGGCAAGGAACCAAAACTCCATTGGTGACAGAATGGAGAAAAAACCTTGGGAGAAACCAGTCTCAGTCAGGGGGCCAGTTCTCCTCTGGCCAGACGAAACCAGCAGTTCAGTTCCAGGCTGTCACATAGTGCAGAGGACTCAACTGGTTCCTGTGGTCTTGTTCCAGTGGCCGTCTAGGAGACAAGGTCTTCACTGGGGATCTGTCTCTGGGGCTCATCTAGTTGTCCTGGTCTCCGCTGACATTCAGGGCTGTAGAGGTCATCTCTAGGTGCTGATCCACCATCTGGGCTGGATACGTACTGGATCCGGGTGACTGCAGGGACCATCTGATCTGGTTACAGACTGGATCTGGTGGCTACGGTGACCTCGGAATAAAGGCTGATTTATACTTCTGCGTCGGACCTACGCCGTAGGCTATGCGTCAGTTTTCATTTATACTTTATATATGCGGGCACCACTTAGACATCCAGCCATTGAGTGACGACAGTCTGCTATGTATCTCATCACCACGGTAAGCAGGGAGGGGACCAGAGCATATTACAGTGTCTGACATCGTACTTGCAAGTTCACACACCTCTTTAATATTAATTTTAGTGATTTTCGACTGGCGAAGTCGAACATCATTAGCACCGGCGTGAATAACAATCTTACTGTATTTACATTTAGCATTAGCCAGCAATTTTAAATTTGCCAAAATGTCAGGCCTCTCTGGCTCCCGGTAAACATTGGACTATGGTGGCTGGTGTCTCTTATTTTCACATTCTGTACAATAGAATCACCAATAACTAGAGCAAAATTGATTTTTTGATTGGAACGGAAGAGCGGTGTTTTGACCCGCGACTATGCCGCCTCACAGTCGCCCTGCTGCAGAGACTCTGTAACCAGAACCGAACAATGTACAAGACTCCCTGAGCTAGTCGCATCTATAGCCGTATCTAGAGCCCTCACATTCTTACTGTCCTCAATTAAAGTTTGGATGCATGTCTCTAATTCTGAAATCTTCTCTGTCAGCCTAACTATTTCCCTGCATTTATCACATGTGAATCCCTCGTCGCTGACAGAGAGAGCTAAACTATACATGTGGCAAGCGGCAGACAGGAAACGGAAATCCGTGTGAAAAGAAACCTGGAGATATGAGGATAAAAAGGAAAGATTCTTTGTGCATTGCAGGAAATATTTTATCTGAAAATATAAGTTGTATTTAATTTGTCTTTTGTTTGTTGGTCTCTGTATTTCATCAAGTAACTCATTTCCATATTTTAGACTGCATTAATGTTTTATTGTTTATAAAAGTTTAATTTGGTTTCTTTTTGTTGTTGTTATTCTTCTATTTATTGACTATTTATCTGTTGCTTTTGTGTTGCCTTACTCCGTTATAAGATAACTGTTATTGGGTTATCATTTACCCCATTGTTTTTATTTTTCCTGTTATCTGGCTGAGATTTTTTTTTCCCTGCATCAATAAAACACTATAGTGCATTTGTGCAGTTTCGTTCTTTTATTATACCTTGCATAATATATTATATAGGGTAATTTCTAGTTCAGTTTTGGGGATTCTGGCATAATATTGGTCCAGTTATTGCTGTCTTCCGAAGCTTCTGGATAAGCTGTGGCTGAGTTCTGGGGTAAAGGTGGTGCCAGTTTATCTCTGGCGTGTACTGAGAGACTGTGCAGTGGAACTCACCGATGTCTTCACAGACATTTTCAACATCTCTTGTCTGGCTGACATCTAGGGATTCCGGCACTTTTGTGGGCCAGTTATGGCTGATTTCTGGGGACACTGTGAAGTTGTGGGTGAGTTTTGGCCTGTTTCCGGCATTGGTCTAGGTGACTTTCGGCAAACCGCATTTGGGCCAACATTGGGCGGGCCACAATTCCATTTGGTATGTGGGCCAAACTCACAGCCTAAACACAGCCAGATCTGGCCAAAAAACAATTTGCTATCTGGGTATTCATGGTTTATGTCATAAAATAAATCGGTAGAGCAGACTAAATGCACATTATGTTGTCTTTTTTCATTTACTTACAGCGGAAAGGAAACATGAAAATAATCAGGAGGACAATAATGCAGCAGGCTGATTTGAGCTATTCTATATATGCTGTTATCACTTCACATTAATATGTTATTCCCCTGACTTCTGAAAATAGAAAATGAATGAAAATGTACAGCCCATTCAGTCAAAATGACGGATAAGGATTATTTGTAGCACATTCTTATGATTTGTTGCAGTCTTTTTGAGTTGAACTTCCCCACAACGGGAGTGCCTCCCATAATTTAAAAGGCAGTATAGATTTGTTAGGAAAAAGGTGGCTAGCCTATGTTCCATTCAAAGGGCATTAAGGGCATTGGGGAGTGGACCCATGAATTTAGTAACTTGAATTATAGGATCCTTCTTTTGCAAGACTTTGGACCAATTTTGGACCATCCATCCCCACAAATCTTTTTCACTTTATCAGTATTTCTGGGTTGTATTCATAACACATCCCTCTTTAGGTTATGCTGCAGCATCTTAAATGTCTGAAGGCCAGGACTCATTTTCAACCATATTTTGCGTGCATTTGGTTATCATGAGGAACTGCTGTCCTGAGATTCTCCTGTAAAATGTCTTAATACACTTTTGAATTCATTGTTTATTCAATGATTGCCATGTGCCCAGGCCCCGAGGAGGCGAAATACAGCATTAAACCATGATGCTCCATCCACCATGTTTTATAGTTTAGCAAACACAAGACATGCCTCAATATATTGTAACAGGGTGAAGAATCACACGATAAGTAATCTCAATCAATACCCCGGAGGGTGGATTTATTGGTGTGATGGATGCTAGTGAGAAAGGTCCAGGTAGGTGCTCCGGTGCCGTGAGTGCTCTCTTCCATCTTCCCAGTGAAGAGGGTCCGTGCAGTGCTCCTGTGGGGCTGGTCGGTCACACGCTGCTTTCTGTGGGAAAAATGAGAGAGCGAGCTAGTGCTCAGTCTCATGGAGGAATCGCCTAGATGGCAGGGCTTATGTGGCCGCCGCCTGATGAGCTGCAGCTGTGACCGATCAGCCTGTGATGAGGATGGCCAGGTGTGCCTTGCTTGTTTCCAGGGCGACGCTGATGAAGCTGCGGGACGCTGGTCACAATATATCAGGGGTGGCGAACGTCGGTCCTGGCGAGGCGGCCGCCCCGCGGGCGTTTGGTTTTCTGCAGGGCTGCGGCTCTCCAGGACCGGAGTTCGCCACAGCTGCAATATATATATATTTTTTGAATACCATTCTGGTTTTCTGATAGTGGAAACATGAACAAAGACTTTCACAGTAAAATGCTGCCGTTCGTTTTGTTTATTTAAAAGTCAGGGTGTGTGTAACCCAAATCTGTAATCTCATCACCTAAAAATGACTTAAATTATAGCTTTTAGAGAAATTCATCACATAGATTTACTTCAATTGACTCAGACCATATTTTATGAGTAACAAATGCAGAATTTTTTTTTTTTCAACATGGTGAATTACATTTTTCAGCTTAAGTGACTTGTGTTTCTTGGACTTATGTTGTATTTTATGAAATTATCTGGAGATTGCTAAAAGTTTATATAACTATATTTATGAAAATATTCTCTTTGTGCTGTTTTTACATTTAACCAGGTGACTGTGTCATGTGACAAACTGATTGTTTAAAATGGACTCTGAGTGTGTTTGTAGTTTGACACCCTGGTGAAGGCTTGTTATAGCTGCAATGTGTCGGTGTATTTGGGTGTTGTTTTTAATGTAAAGCCATGTGAGAATAAAGGCTTTTTATTTTTTCACTATACTTTCGAGTGCCTTGGAGTTCAAAGTTTTTTTGATGAATTAAGAAATACCGCACCCAAAGAGCACCGATTTATGGACTGTATACCCCAGTAGCATTTTTTGCATATTTTTGATTTATTCTTCAAAATAACTTTTGTGCTCCACAGAAGACAAAGTCAAACAGACAGACAGAAAAACATGAGGGTGAGTACAGGATTACATTTTTGGGTGAACTATATATATCGAAGTACCTTATTTGATAATTATTGCAACTTGGCTTTTTTCCTACGAAAATAATTTATTAGTTTCCTCTTTAGTTTTGCTGATATGTAAGAAATTAGTTGTGAAACTAGATCTGTTCCGCTTTTCCTTCCTTTTAAGTGTCAGAAACCACTCTCTTAAAAGTTAATAGATTTTATAAAATTAGAAATTATAGATAATCTTTTAATATTTGTAAGAAATGTTCACATATTATACTTTTAATCAAAGACCATTACAAACTCAGAACATTGGAACATATGTAGTTATAAGACCTCGTCTTCTCTTTACAGAGTTAATAGACTTTGTGAAACTGTTGGTGAAACTGTTGCAAGATTGTTTCTTAATTTATACAGAGGAAGTGTTATCCAGTAGTATCTTGGCGTCACTGCAGATATTTTTCCACTAAGTAATACATTTCTTTGCCTTTGTTTTTGGGTAGAAGTCATTTATCATGAACAGGACACTTGCACTCTGTCCACGGACAATTATGGTAACCAATGGACCTCTTTATCATCTTACTTTATCCAGGTAAGGCCATAACACATATTACAATTAAGTACATAAAGATTATGAGTAACTGTCAAAAGCGGAGTTCTGTTTTCCTTAGTTTTTTTTTTTTTTTCCAATTATAGTAAAAATGGGACATTGGATGATGAGCCAGATACTGATGCACCATATGACTATTATGACTACTATGGTGGATATGTTGATTCTTCTGGATTTTCCTGTGTTTATGAAGATCATGGAGCTAGCATTCTTCCTGTGCTATACTCCCTGTTTTTTGTGGTGGGCTTTCTGGGTAACATAATGGTGATCTGGGTGGTTTTGATGGGTGTGAAGCTGAGAAGTATGACTGACATCTGTCTGCTTAACCTGGCTTTCGCTGACCTGCTCTTGGTCTGCTCCCTCCCCTTCCTGGCACACTATGCCAGAGACCAGTGGATCTTTGGAGATGTTATGTGCACTGTGGTCCTCAGTGTCTACCACATTGGATTCTATAGTGGGATATTCTTTATTGTACTGATGAGTGTTGATCGGTACTTAGCTGTAGTTCATGCTGTGTTTGCCCTGAGAGTCAGAACAAGGACATATGGGATCTCAGCAAGTGTGGTCACATGGATTGTCGCTGTTTCTGCATCCTTTCCGGAGTTGATGCACCTAAAAACTACAGAAAACAATGAACAAAAATATTGCATATCTTCTCCAACAAATGATCAAAATTCTTACCTTTCTTCAAGGACTTTTGGTATCTTGAAAATGAATGTTATGGGTTTAATTCTCCCTCTTATTGTGATTGGATTTTGTTACTCAATGATTTTAAAGAGACTCCTGACAGCTCGCTCTACCAGGAGGCAGTCCATGCACCTTGTCATCATGGTGATGGTGGTCTTCTTCTGCTGTTGGGCTCCATACAATGTCACCGCTTTTGTGAAAGCCTTAGAACTGAATGAGCTCATAACTCAATCTTGTGACAGCAGTAAGGCAATCAATCTAAGTCTGCAAATCACAGAAGCTTTGGCTTACTCACACAGTTGCCTGAACCCCATTTTCTATGTGTTTGTGAGAGAGAAATTTAGAAGGCATCTTTTCAAACTCCTGTACAGGACATCCTGGACTAGACTGCAATTCGTAAATAACTACATTACACAGGCCACTGTATCAGTTTACCCACACAGCACCAATGATGAGAGAACTAGTACAACAGTTTAAATTGGGAAAAGACAGTCAAAAATAATTTTTAAACGCAGGGCTGTCCTTAGGGCAGTGCAATTGGTAGAACCGGGCCCCGTAACGAACGGACAGAGGGGGGGCCGGGAACACGAATGTTCCGAGGAGGCCCTGCTCCTTGCCCCACGCCAACTTGGGACAGCCCTGTTTAAATGTGTATATACTAATTTGTTTTTAAGCTACCAGCATTGATGTTGAGATTTTAAAAGTTGGGGAACTCTGCACCCAGAGTATGTTGTATTTGGGGGAGATGTTAATTCATGTAGTTTATCACTTGCAACCCCATGGCCCTTTCACCTTTCACACCAAACGTCAGGGCCACAACTGTTACTAGTGTTGACGACCCTGTATGTTTTTATGTATAGTTTTTTTTTTTTTTACTTGTTTCAAAATTGTTTGTATTTTATACACTCCCGTTCAAAAGTTTGGGATCAGAAAGATTTTAAATGTTGTTTTTTTTTTTTTTTTTTAAAGAAGTCCCTTATACTCATCAAAGTTGCATTTATTTGATCAAAAATATAGAAAAAAAAAACTGTAATATTATGAAATTATTGCAATTTAAAATAAAGGTTTACTATTTTAATATACTTTAAAATATAATTTATTCCTGTGATGCAAAGCTGAATTTTCAGCATCATTACTCCAGTCTTCAGTGTCACATGATCCTTCAGAAATCATTCTATTCCATTTCAGACTGGCATCCTCGGTAGTTTGGACTTCGCAAGTTTGACTCGGGAGTGTGAACTCCCGCAGAGGGGACGACGCAAGTCTGGTAATTCTGCAAACAGCATAACGTCAGTCAGCTCACCTTGGCTACTGCAATTTTCCTCACTGTATTTACAATAAGACGAAATATGATATCAAATACCACTGCATCTTCTTGTTTTACATTTAAACACATTAATAGCCGCAGAAATGTAGTTCAGGAAACGTACATACATTACAATGAAACGAAATATATCAAACAGTATTGCCTCTTTTCATTTTCATTTTAACATATTAATAGGATAATAGAATAAAGACCAAAGATTGCCGGTTAGATTTACCCAAAACGAATTATATCTTATGTTTAACCTCTACAGAGACATCAGAGCCAGCAGCAAATGTCTGCTCTCGTCGGGAAACATGAGCACTGAGCACCCATTGATCACGTGGAGCTCACATCTCCAAAATCGGCGAAGCACATTTTCAAATAGGCGTTGTCTTTATAAATAAACCGCAGATTTGAGTTTTAAACGGCTACATTCTCGCCTGATATAATATTTTTTAAACTATATTTCATGACACAATAAATTGTTTTATTAACAAGGTTCGGGAGGAGCACAATCAGCTAATCAATCAGTCTGGCCCAGGTGGAGCTCGTCAGCTAATCACCTTAACAAGCACAATAGGTATATATATACAGCCAACTTGCCTCAGTTCCACGGTTTTGCTCCTTTAGCCATTAGATCACAGACTCAACTTTTTCCGTACTATGACGAGACCTGTACTGGGGATCTTTCGCATTCTCCGTCGCAATCTGCCAGCCCTAGGCTCACTCCTTTTCCGCCAGTCACCACCGCTGAGCACCAGGCTTCATCGCGGCTGCTGCTCTGCTCAACCAGCCACATGCTCTCCACAACGCCGAGACTTAACCTTGCCTCCACCGGTGAGACTTCCAACCTCCCCGATGTCCTCGTATCATTCGGCTATGCCAATATATCCTTAGATCAGAAAGTGGATAGTATTTAAGGCTGAAGCAAACACTGATTAATTTCCGACGAACCATTCTCACGGAGGGTAAATAAAGCTGATCTGTACGATCTATTCTTCCCCCTGCAAATTAGCCAAGGCGGCCAATAGATCGAGCAAAGCCTCGAACTCGCCTCACTCAACACCACCATTGTCCTGCACAAGACCCGGCACTCCTCCAGCTTTGGGTCGCAGTGGCAGGCCTTAAACGAGCCTGGGTTCTCACCGCAGCAAAACCTCATTTGTTTCCCGCTTTGGCTCAACTTTTCACCGCAGCTCTTCCGGCTGCAGCACCACATGTAGCCGGGCCTCCAGCTCTCGTAGCATTCGCTAACGCGAGGCTGCCTCTGCTAGTGCCGCAGGCCGTGTTGCAATATAATTTTCAGGTAAAGTCACTAAAGGTAGGTTGTTTGTTGTTAAACGACATGATGACATTATGGATGTTGATGTCATTTTTGTAACCATGACGCAAAACTGCGTAGAACACACAATGAAATTACTAAAATTCTGTATTAATTTTCACTAGCTTTTTACCTGTATTTTAAATTACACATTGTACTCTGATAGACCGATAAGATGAAAAAGATTGCTTTTCATGAAAATAAGTTGGTGTACAATTATAGGTGCAAACTAACAACTAAGGCGTAAAGAAACTATTAATATTATTGAACTAGTACAACTAGCAACCTAATTCACATGCATTGTGCATACTGCTAGGCACCTCTCTCCAAGTCTCTACCAGCGGATGTGCTGCTTGGCTGGCTAGCCGTTTCAATACTTACTACTAATTGTGTGGTTAAGAGGAAAAGCATGTCTTTTCGCCATTTTATGATGTTGTCAAAGTCATCATATTTCTCCTGCTACTTCTAACCTCGCTTCCTTTTCAGTGGTCTCCAGCTCCCGTAGCACACACTAGCGTGAGGCTGCCTCTGCAATCTGTGCAGGCTGCACAGGCTCTCCAGCATTTCCCCCCGAATATCACAAGCCCCTGTGGCCTACAGCTACAGCAGCTTAAACGAGCGCAAAGCTGCTTATGTTTGCAACACATGCCCTCACATCTCAATCTTTCCTCCTGTTACTTCTAATCCTTTTCCTTTTCAGTGGCCTCCAGCTCCCATAGCACACACTAGCGTGAGGCTGCCTCTGCTAGCTGTGCAGGCTGCACAGGCTCTTCAGGATGTCACAAACCCCACTCCCTTCCCGTGGCCTACAGCAGCTGAAGGAAGTGTGAGGCTGCCTCCGCTTGCAACTCAGGCCCACACATCTCGGGCTTTTCCTCCCATTTCTAATGACCCCTTTTTTCTTTTCAGTGGCCTCCAGCTCCCATAGCAGACACTAACCCGGAAGCTGATTTAAACGTCAGGCTGCCTCTGCTGACAATTGCAGCCCATGCACCTCTTCCTCATAGCTCCCTACTTCATTCAAAATTACGTTGTCGTCCAGATCAAGTTCCAGCTCCCCTCGAGCTTCAAGACGCAGCAGGCCGTCAGCAAGCCTGGGCCGCGATCCAGACTCTGCGGCAGACGTTAGCGTGAGGCTGCCTCCGCTAGCCACTCAAGCTCAGCTACCTTACTCTTACTCTTCCGATACTCCTTTTTCCTATCAATGGCCAGCAGCCCCCGCTGCTGACGTCCATGCAGGGCATCATCAGCCAGCAACACAAGCTTACAGACCTCCTCCCTCATTTCCTTCTACCTCTCCCTACATGCTTCCCTAAGCACCAGAGGCTAATCCGGGCTTGAGGCTGCCTCCGCAAAAGGTTAAGGCCCCTCCTTATCTTCCTTCTAACCCTTCTCTCCAATCTAATCCTCCTTACACTTCACTTACCGCAGTCCCACTACCTATCCCACCGAATGCTGCAGCTCAGGAACCACACCATGTGTCTAATACCATCAAGTCTCAGATTCTCGCAGAAATTCAGAGCGCTGGCTCCGGGGGCGGACCCATCGCCAACCCCAGTACCTCACTATTCGCAACTCGTATTCCCATAACACATCCCTTAAAACCTCCTCAACACGTCACTCAGTTTGGTCCTCCAAGCAGTTTCACCAAGAACCATCCAATCTTATCTAACTGCTTGGAGATGATTTAAAGCTTTCCACCTCCCGTACAACCTACTGGTATCCAATTTTTTTTAATTTTTTTTTTCACAAATTAATCTACGGCGCCCCCTCTCCTGAAATAAACAATTCTTTAGTGCTCTCATCCTCCAAGCCCGGACGCTAGACAGCCGAGAACTTTCAACATTCTAAATGTATCCACATTCTCTACACAGGGTACCACTATTTTCATACCGCTCGTAGACTCGACGCAATGTTCATACTGGCTTTTTTTGGTTTCCTGAGATGCTTGGAATTCACAACTTGTATTCAACCCCAAACTCCATCCAACCGTCTCCGACCTTTCCGTGCTCGACAGAGAAACTATCTCCTATTTCATCAAACAAAGTAAATCAGATCAGGGAAAAAGAGGTCACCACGTCTAAAGTTTTAACCTCCCGTCACCAATCCAACCATATTAGGCCCTTTTCTTACCTACAATTCAGAAGGCTACATCCTCTTTTTGTCGATAACTGTAACCACCCCGTCACACGTTTTTGGTTTCAAAAACATCTATTAAAACGATGTTCAAAAACATCGTCCAACCAGTCATACCCATAGAAAGATTTTCCAGCCACTCCTTCCGAATCAGGGTAGTAACTACAGCAGCCCAAAAAGGCCTCTCACAGCAGCAGATCCAAGCTCTCGGTCAATGGTCCTCGGACGCCTTCAAGAGCTATGTCAGGACCAATAATTTTCTCACAAAGAAAGCCCATCTAATTCTGATAAGTTAAATGAAATTTGATACTGCTGCCGCAGTGCCCCGCTCAATTTGATACTGCCGACACAGCGCCTTGCTCACTTAAAAGCTGCAGTGCCTGCTTAATTTGATACTACCGCCGCAGTGCCTCCATCTGTCATTTCGCGCCTAATGGCTTATTCAGCATTGAACGGGGCTTCCCCTTCTGGTGCAGCAGAGCCACGGCTCCCTTCGGTCGCAGTGAGAGCCCTTCATCTGTCATTGAGCCCCATTTGCTTTTTCCGCATCGGACGGGGCTCTCCCTTCCGGTGCAGCAGAGCCACAGCTCCCTTCGGATGCAGTGAGTCCCTCACCTGGCCTTCCATCGTGCTCCTTATTCGGTGGCAGGTAGGGCTTGCCAGCCGACGTGGAGAGCCACAGCTCCCTTTCAAGCACCGCACGACCCCTCCCAGTCGCCATGCCGTCTCTTCGCACACCCTAATTTTCTTCACGGCACGCATATTTTTGGGGGCTACAAACAATTTTCTCTCCGGCTACTGTCTCATGCCATTAGCTCCTTTTGGGGAGTTCTCTGGGTTCGGGCTTTAACCCGAGCTCGGAGCCCTCCCTCTGGACCGCATGCCAAATATGCTACTAATTGCTCAATCACATATGTTAGTGCGAATAAATGGTGGTTGAAATGCAATGATGCGTGAACCCAATCAGCATGTCCCGCCCCCGAAAGTTCCGGAACTTTGAAAAATTACCAGAGATTGTCTTACTATAGGGAGATGAGAGGGTCTTTATTACTTACTATTGGAGAAAGCGTAACGGTCAACTTGG